TCAAAATTTACTAAAATTATGTTTTACGTCTGTTAAAAATCCTCTAATTATAAATTAAGTAATTTTTCTGAAAAGATATGCGTAAATGTAAAAAATACTCTTTTACAAAAAAGTTACGTACAGTTCTAGAGAAAAGGATCATTATCTCTAAGGCAAAAGATGACAGAACACAAAATATCATGGAGTTATTTTGATTCCTTTCAATAAGATCTATATGAAAAAATTTCTACACGTCCACATAGAAAAATATCCTTCTAGTATTAGGTGTACAACTTTGCTTCCGCCGTTTTCCTATAGATGGTTTTAACGGTAAGTGGTGGTCGAAATAAATAGATCATAGACGTCGTACAATAAACTTGGGCATCTGTCAACATAACCCCATAGAAACATTAGTCGATTTGTGTCTGCATTATAAAGTTATTCTCGATTGAAAATGTCAGTTTACGAGCCAAATTCTCGTCATTTGCGGGAGGTTTTAATTTTTTGCTTCGATATGAAGAAATCTGCGCTCATCGAATGCTCTCAAATACTTATGGTGAGGCCGCTATTAGTGAAAGAACGTGTCGTGAGTGGTTTCAACGCTTCAAGAACGGTGATTTTGACGTCCAAGGTCATGCTCTGTGTTTGGTGGGACCAGCTCGGCGTAGTGTATTATGAACTGTTAAAACCGACTGAAACAATCACAGGCGATCGGTATCGAACGCAATTGATGCGTTTGAGCCGAGCATTGAAAGACAAACGGCCGCAATACAACGAGAAAGATAAAGTGATTTTGCAGCATGCTCGCTCGACAATGCTCGACCCCATGTTGCGAAAGTGGTCAAGACATACTTGAAATGGGAAGTCCTACCCCACCCGTCGTATTCTCTAGACGTTGCTCCCTCTGACTATCACTTGTTTCGATCAATGGCACACGACCTGGCTGACCAGCACTTCCGGTCTTATGAAGAAGTAAAAAATTGGATCGATTCGTGGATAGCCTCAAAAGATGACCAGTTTTTTTGACGCGGGATTCGTACGCTACCCGAAAGATGGGAGAAAGTAGTGGCCAGCGACAATGGATACTTTGAATCATAAATGTATAACCAGTTTTTTACAATAAAACCTCGAATTTCGGAAAAACACGGCGGAAGCGAAGTTGTACACCTAATATTAAAAAATGTGATTA